ACCCTCCTACTACTATGCCGATCCTTTTGGGTAAAAAGATAGTAATAAGTGTACGGTTCATTTCCAATCGATCCTTCATTTTCTAACAGTTAGTGAAGAGATAATGCTGCCACACATTCATTTTAGTCGCCGAAACATAAGTACCGCAAGAAACTGGCGTAGAAAAATAGGGCTTTTAGTTCTTACACATCTAAAGTTGAAAAAACGAAAGATTGTTTTGAACTTCACAATCTTTGACAGAATTCAAATTCTTCATTTACTCAATAGGTCGAATAGAATGTTCACAATTTTCAGGGTACGGTCATATCGTTCCGCGGACAAACGCTGGACGGATAGCGATCATTTTTTATGCACTTTTCGGCATACCTCTTATTTTGGTGACCATCGCTGATATGGGACGATTTTTGTCAGGTTCTTACATTTTTGTTGATTATTTTTTTCCTTAAAAATGTAAAATATGGAAAAGACACGAATTCTTTCAATCATAACTTCAAAATCTGCTTCAGAAATCGTATATACATAGTTTATGAGTTATGGCTCAGACTCTTCTTTTTATTCCATACGCTGTGGCGCAGGATACATTTTTAAAAACAATTTCGCGCTGAGTATCGTGAGAAGACGAAATTTTTGGGGTATTCTAAAACCTTAAGGCTTAGGTCGCATTTGTTTAACTCCAAGTGTAATTGTTGATTTATGGTATGTGTTGTGATGCATATTTGTGGAAGAGTTACCGTAAGCTGGGACAAGTTACAGCACGAAATGCATGAAATTTCAACTGTTCTGTTTGAAATTCTTTAACTTCCCACGAGAACAAAGGCGCTAAAGCACTTAACTTAAAATATATAGTGAAATATACGTAAATGCAAAAATATATTTGTTTCTTTTAGATAGTGCAAATATCAGAAGTTCGTTGAATTTCTTGATTTGATCCATTTGCTGTAAAATACTTTATCTCAAAATGTTCATTTGTAATGACCATTATCATAATCATAAGATCAAGAACATATAATATTCGCATTGTACGAAGCTATCGCTACTGCAATTGTTTCAAAGCTTTTATTTTAAGTGGTAAGAGCGTAATTTTCTAGTATTCTTTATTCTAGGAGGTATTATTTGGGTACATAACACATATCGAAAATTTATGGATTCATGCTACGCTCAGTGTTGGAAGTGCATCAAATGTATGTGTTGTCGATTTCGAAAGAAACAGAAACGGATACAGGTTTGTTACATTTCTAACGTATGACTTATCTATCATGTTTATTTTTTTCAAAATTTATTTTGAAAGAATCTCACTCATAGTTTTTGAGTTGTTTGTAAAGTTGTTTGTTGATTGTTATGCTTCTTGTTACGATCGAGCATTACGAAATCTACTGTTAGGAAGATCAGTTGTTGCGTTACAGCATTAACTTCTTTTTAAGATGCCGACAATCGAACTTTTGCAAAAACAACGGCAAATGTATAGCAGTGTGCGACGGCCGCGAAAAACGCACGATAATCAATCCGATGCCGGCACTTTTGAGGGTACCTTTTGCAAATTCTATAAAAAACAACTAACCGTGTTTTTACCTCGTAAAAATTTAGACATATCCGAAATTCATACTCAAAATTCGGATCTCGGTGCGACATCGGAAGATACTCGAGCGCAAGCAGAAGAACTTGAACCAGAAATGCCACATCATGAGCGGCGAGTCTCCGTGATGTTTATACTCGTGATTATGCTAGGTAAGTAGCAATAAATTTGTATATCCAATTAGCAATTTTTATTCATAAACCTTGTCACTTAAAAGTACTCGTTTTTATTTTTATTTCTATCACTATGCATGAGTGCTATTGTTAGGTCATGAACCATTTTAACTCAATGACTACACAAAACATAAAATAGCGTCAATGGCACATTGAAATCTGTCTGGACTTTCTTCATTTTATTGTGTAGGGCTTAATTACATCGTTCTACACGGAACCGGTCTGTTTTTATTCCCTTTTCTCTAGAAATTTCTATTTTATCACAATCACCAACATTTTTCCTGTTATTTATATATTGTCAAAGTTGTCGAAACTGCTGACGCCTCAGCTCCTAAACTCTCCTAAA